CAGTAATGGCAAGTGGATGGCCATCGCTATCCAATCTTCTTTCAAGGTTCAGCGTTGGCCTGCCACTAGCTGCACACCAAGAACCTTAAACCGAAGGGGGGAAATAACATACCTCTTTGAGATATATTTTGATATACATAACAAGAATAGGTCATATAGAAACCAAGTATGCAAAGCATAAATAGAAGACCATCTTGAAATCTCATTATCAACATCGTGTACCTATTTACCCACTTGTGAAGTGTTGTACTAGTAAGGATAATTTTATTGGTTGGGAGACAAAAAGGATGCATTTTAATTGCAAAGGAACTGAGATTCCATTATCTAATGAGTGTTATTATATCGATGCAAGAACCAGTAGTCTAAGGAATGGAGGGTTCACAACCCCTAACTATGATGCCAAATTATTAATACTCATCATCTTTGGATTGATCAGCTTAACCCTTAAACCAATATATGCAAAGGCATAAAATAGGGAAACCTTTTTGTTCAACCTTGGTACAAAGGGAACATAAATCACATGTGATTTTCACTATACAGATCTCAAACACAACAAATACGCTTGGGTGGTCACCCAATATGCATACTTTGAACTTATTTCAAGTGATGGACACACCAAGTTGGAAGACAACTCAAAATCACTACCAAAGGGATAATGAAATACCTTCAACTGGTCCAAAAGATAAACTTGTATCTTCAAAACCTGTCAGGGTGAATTGGTCAAGAGATGCTCTTCGTATGCAAAAGAACACATTGCAGAAGTAATATAAGAAATAGAATAATAAGTGGCAAATGGTCATTGCACTCAACAAACCACAAGCTAGTTAGCGGCAAATCAAAGAGAAACAATGACTGCACATCATTCGAGAGATGGTGCAATGTGAAAAAGCTGAAAAATCATCTTCTAACAAGAGAACTACTGAAGGTGTCAACCAATGCCATATCGCAGAGACAAAAACGAGTCAGTCAATTGTTCATATACCAAGATGATCAATCTCCTCAATTACAATACCTAACCAAGTTGGGCATTAATAAAGCATCATTACCTTTGTATTGTTAGAAATAGTACTAACTCATGCCATAAACAACTCCTCCAACACAACTTCAATACACCATCTCTAATTCCAGCATTTCACATCATACTCAAAAACAACACAACCCACCACCAAAAAAATGAGCAATGAAACAGTTAATGCATGTTGCTAAATGAACAACTCTTGATGAAGTTATTAACAAAGCAAAGGTAACCTGTCTCACCTTTATTAGCAAACTGCATAAAGGAGTCGACTTTGGAAGTAGGTGTAGTGCTTTTATACGGTTGACTACTCTTCCCTTTGTCCTTCAAAATCTCATCAATTTCTTTGTAATAAGACATCTTTGCAGAACCCCCACTCCTTCCTTTCTCCTGATGCTTAGCCTTCTTGAACTCATTCAACAAGTTCCTCCACTTACCAGTACACATGGTTGGAGATCGATCAAACCCCTTTTCCCTCATCTTCAGCAAAATCTGCTCCCATAAGTGCATGTTCGATTTGGAAGTGTTGAACAACAAGTCTATCTCCCTTCTCAAAGCAATCAAGCTCCGTGTTTTGTCCTGTACCCAAGTCTCCGCTCTCTTTTTGGGAGCTCTCACTTCATGTGTGTCTTACCCGCTGCTATCCCCAAGTATCATTTGTTGTGGCTGAGGTGGCTGCTGCGGTGGCGGAGGAGGAGGATTATTGTGTTGTTGCTGCTGGGGAAGTGGCTGCAAATCGCCATTAGGGGAAACGACCTCTATGATCATGTTGTCTCCCAAAGCAGCACGCGGCGGTAGTTCCTCTTTGTAGAAATCAATTGCGCGAGGCTTATCCGATAGGTACATATCCGCTACACAAATTTCAGCTTTTCCCCGAGCTGGGAATTGGGTTCTGTTGAGAATTGAAAATTAACTTGTGGTTTTAGCAAGGAGAGACGAAAAGGCGGCGGAGGAATAGGAGAAATAAAGTCATTGATCAAGGTAGAGTCCTGTTTTTTTTTAGCCTTCTCTGTCGACTCGGTTGATAGAAGGAATGAGAGGTGAATGGAAAGAACTGGATTTGGATTTTAGAGAGAAAGAGGGAGGGAGAGGGTGGGTGAACTAAAAGCTTTCGACTTTGAGGATTATTAGCAGCACAGAATAGGGGGAGGAATGAAATGGGATGACGGGAGAAGCCATGGGGGATTTCTAATTGTACTCTTTCCTTTTTTTAGGCTCGGATAAATGCACATTTGGTCACTAGAATTACTAAATAGTGTCATGTTTAGTTACTAGAAAAATTAATATCAATTTTGGTCACTCAATTTACAGAAACAGGTCACATTTAGCCACTCTCCGTTAAATTTCCGTCAAATTCCGTTAATTTAGTCCGTTATGTACTGACATGGCTAACGGAAGCGCCTAATCAGCGTCATTTTGGACCGAAAATGGTCAAACCAACCCGCCACGTCACTAAACACACAATGTCATATGCTCAACCCATTAACCAAACCCGACCCTATTCTCATCTCAACCGTCGCCTCCCCACTTCTCCCTCTTCCATTTGAATCGCCGGCAAATAGTTTCACATCGCCAAGAATATGAGTTCAGCCCAGATTTCATAACCGATGGCGGCGACACTGTTGCATCAGAGCTGCAACCTTATCGGAGCTTTGTTCTCGGTCGGGGCAGGGGAACGTCGGGCTCCTTTTCTCCCTTTCAGTTTGTGTAGAAACTTCCCCGAAAAAGCATATATGAGCAAACTCAACTGCTCAGCTACATCTCTGCTCTCCCGTGCCAGCTACTATAGCACCCAACTGCTCCTTGACGACGGCAGGAACAGATTTCGGTGGTGTCGACGACGAGCACAATCCAGTTCCAAATTTCAGCGATTGCAGACTTCGGTGAGTGTTAACGACAATACCAGACTTATCCATGCTCCGCCAATTTCCTCTCAAATCAGGCGGTGAGAAAGACTTCAGCGCGCACCCAACCACCCTTCTCGGCTGCAACCCGAAATCCCCTTTTGAAACCCTAATTTTTTTAACCCAAAAATTGCATTAGATCACCATCAGCTCCAATTTATATGTTCCTTTGATCTCTTGGTCGCATGGTAACTATAAAAGATGATGAGTCGGTGGTGGGTTGAGTTTGGCAAAGAGGAAAAAAATTGGTGGTGGTACCAGGCCAGATCGCGGGAGTGTTGGGGACGATGTGGAAGAAGAAGTTGAGGCAGGGGTTGCCGGGGGAGAGGAAGGTGGCGGAGCATTGCTCCGTCAGGCCCATGGGGCTGATCACCGGAGATCATCGCTCCGGCGATTGATGGAGGGCGGAGAACCTTCGTCGACATTGTCCTGATGGATGCAGATGGCGGTGGTGGGTCCTTCGCGATGAACAAGAAAAAGTTTTGGGTCTTCAATTTTGTTTTGTTAATAGGCTCGGGTTGGGTTATGGGTCAGGTTGGGTTCATGGGTTGGGTGTATGACGTGGCGGGTTTAGTTACGTGGCAAGTTGGGTTTGACTATTTTCCGCTCAAAACTGCGTTGACTAGGTGCTTCCGTTAGTCATGTTAGCACATAACAAACTAAATTAACGGAGTTGGATGGGGACTAACGGAGAGTGACTAAATGTGACATGTTTTAGTAATTTGAGTGACCAATATTGATATTAATTTTTTCTAGTGACTAAACATGACACTATTTAGTAATTCTAGTGACCAAATGTGGCATTTACCCTTTTAGGCTCCATTTCTTTTCTAATTATTCATACTAGTGGAGTACTCCACTAGTATGAATAATTAGAAAAGGAAAGCTCGGCTTGTTTATTAACGAGCCGAGTCGAGTTCGAGCTGTGCTTGCTTAATAAAATCTTGACTCGTATTTGATTTAATTATTTTGTATGTTATACATGATACATGTGATTAATGTCAAGATGAAAATAATAACAATAATAATAATAATAGTTAAGTGTTCAATATTAAGTAATCTCATGTTATACTTTGTGGTATCAAATTATTTATTTAATAAGGTTTAACTAGTGAAATTATGTTATTTCATAGTATCAAAATAATTTATGATGCATAATTTCTTTTTAAAATTAGATAATACATATTTGCTCACATAATCTACGAGTTAAACTTCATATACAGTGAGATATATAATTTAACAATCCTATGAATTATCAAAATCAAACTCATAGATCGATTCACTCATAATTAGGTAATTGAGTTGGCTCTCTAGTTACAATGTTGAGATTTGAGACATCTCATGAGCTGTCAACGAGGCAGCTCACGAGTTGAGCTCAACAAGCCACAGAGTCGAGCTAATAGGTGGTAATTGAGACTCTTAAACAAATTTGAGACTCTTGGAGGAGGGTTGTTTGCAATAGGTGGTAATTGGGATGCTTGAAATTACGACTTTTGTTGGTTTTGAATGTTGAAACTTTTCCCCTTTGCCAAAAGTCCAGAACTATGTGGTTATACTGGTAGACGGTTATCGATTTTCATATCGGTTAACCACTAACCAATTAGTCGATTAGCGGTTAACTACTAAACAAAATACCACCAACCAAAACCGAACGAATAAAAAAATTGTCGGTTATCGGTTAACCACTGACCGTCTACCGATAACCACCAAACCATTTACCACCACTACTTACAATTACAAGTCTAAGTCTTGCACTGCAATCCATATCCCATAAGGGAACCTCAGTGGTTTTAAGATATAAAAAAAAAAAGCAGCACAAAACCCTATCAGATAGGACTTGCATTTTTCATCTTTACGGGTTAAATAAACTGAATATACTTTTGCTGTTATAGGGACAAAACTTTGAAGTTACAGTATATACAGTAACATTAAAACAGTCTAAGTCAGCCCTAACTTTTTTCAACAGCTACAAAATATGTATACACTTTTGGAGAGAGGCCATACATACATAAAAACACAAGCCAAAAGAGATGTTACGGACTAAATGCTGCTTGCAGAAAGGGTCAGTCATGGCTATATAATCAATTCACTCCACGATACAAGGCACGAGGTCTTAGATCATCCATTCTATCGACGTTCCTGTAACCATCGAACTCCCTTAAGCACGTCTATCCACGTCGGTTTAGAAAGTCTCGGTAGTCATCTTCCGTATGGAAAAGCTTCTCCTTAGTGTGCACTGGTATGTGGTCTGTCTCATCGTATAAACATAACTTTATACCCAAACCTGACATAGCCAAAGTGTTCTAAACATGGCTCAATATACCAAAAGTTGAATGCTGCAAATTAGAGGTGGCAACTATCAGCCCAACCCACCATTCCGACCTACTAGTAATACTAGTGTTTGTGAATATCGTGGCGTACAGGCTAAACTATATATAGATAGGTGACCAAGTCAGTATAGTTACATTCTCGATTTCTCTATGATTTTGTTTTCATAACCTAACTATCAACCCCAATTGTTTGATACCAAGTATGGTTCTGTAACCCATTTCTTAATGTCGTTCTAACTCAAACCCATTTTACCCAAATCCATTAGGTTGGTGGCAAACTGAGTTGAGTTGATGGATCTGTGCGAAACATGTTCAGTACCTAAACATTTTATTATTTATACCTACACTTTCATATATACACAGTATTTGTGATCCATTTAGTACCTAAATATTTCATGGCTTACAAGTTAGTACTTAAATTTTAAGAATTTTGCACACCTTAACTATTAACAAACTAACCCACTTCTCACAGTTCACAGTTTGCTACCTAGACTTCTAAGACATTCCAAAAACTCTTGAACTTGAGAAATGACCACATCAGGTTTTCAAGAAAATGTCATTGATCTTCACCAACCCATTTCCCACCTCTAATTGCACTAACATTAGATATATGAATCAATCTATTACCTTCATCAAGATGAAGAGTGTAGTTCCCGAGCGTCATATCCCGGCCGAGACTACGTATTACTTGGTCTTCATCCTCCAACCAAAATGCACGTTTGGTTCTCAATCTGAAACCAGACCGAATTGCGTCCTTGATGGCATCAGCAGTTCCATCAATGCCAATCCTTCTCAAGTAGTCTCCATACTTGACTGTTATCACCCTCCTACCATATGACTGATTGTCGGCACCTTGCAAAAATAGTAGAGAAACAAAGAAATCCTCTCAATACACAAGTCAAATTTTTTATTACTTCTGGAATGTTTGACTAGTCTAGCCTCACCACTTCCGGGGGCTTCTCTCCAATTCCATGGAGGTACTCCACTTGCTGCAACAACATTAGCAGCAGTAATGGCAAGTGGATGGCCATCGCTATCCAATCTTCTTTCAAGGTTCAGCGTTGGCCTGCCACTAGCTGCACACCAAGAACCTTAAACCGAAGGGGGGAAATAACATACCTCTTTGAGATATATTTTGATATACATAACAAGAATAGGTCATATAGAAACCAAGTATGCAAAGCATAAATAGAAGACCATCTTGAAATCTCATTATCAACATCGTGTACCTATTTACCCACTTGTGAAGTGTTGTACTAGTAAGGATAATTTTATTGGTTGGGAGACAAAAAGGATGCATTTTAATTGCAAAGGAACTGAGATTCCATTATCTAATGAGTGTTATTATATCGATGCAAGAACCAGTAGTCTAAGGAATGGAGGGTTCACAACCCCTAACTATGATGCCAAATTATTAATACTCATCATCTTTGGATTGATCAGCTTAACCCTTAAACCAATATATGCAAAGGCATAAAATAGGGAAACCTTTTTGTTCAACCTTGGTACAAAGGGAACATAAATCACATGTGATTTTCACTATACAGATCTCAAACACAACAAATACGCTTGGGTGGTCACCCAATATGCATACTTTGAACTTATTTCAAGTGATGGACACACCAAGTTGGAAGACAACTCAAAATCACTACCAAAGGGATAATGAAATACCTTCAACTGGTCCAAAAGATAAACTTGTATCTTCAAAACCTGTCAGGGTGAATTGGTCAAGAGATGCTCTTCGTATGCAAAAGAACACATTGCAGAAGTAATATAAGAAATAGAATAATAAGTGGCAAATGGTCATTGCACTCAACAAACCACAAGCTAGTTAGCGGCAAATCAAAGAGAAACAATGACTGCACATCATTCGAGAGATGGTGCAATGTGAAAAAGCTGAAAAATCATCTTCTAACAAGAGAACTACTGAAGGTGTCAACCAATGCCATATCGCAGAGACAAAAACGAGTCAGTCAATTGTTCATATACCAAGATGATCAATCTCCTCAATTACAATACCTAACCAAGTTGGGCATTAATAAAGCATCATTACCTTTGTATTGTTAGAAATAGTACTAACTCATGCCATAAACAACTCCTCCAACACAACTTCAATACACCATCTCTAATTCCAGCATTTCACATCATACTCAAAAACAACACAACCCACCACCAAAAAAATGAGCAATGAAACAGTTAATGCATGTTGCTAAATGAACAACTCTTGATGAAGTTATTAACAAAGCAAAGGTAACCTGTCTCACCTTTATTAGCAAACTGCATAAAGGAGTCGACTTTGGAAGTAGGTGTAGTGCTTTTATACGGTTGACTACTCTTCCCTTTGTCCTTCAAAATCTCATCAATTTCTTTGTAATAAGACATCTTTGCAGAACCCCCACTCCTTCCTTTCTCCTGATGCTTAGCCTTCTTGAACTCATTCAACAAGTTCCTCCACTTACCAGTACACATGGTTGGAGATCGATCAAACCCCTTTTCCCTCATCTTCAGCAAAATCTGCTCCCATAAGTGCATGTTCGATTTGGAAGTGTTGAACAACAAGTCTATCTCCCTTCTCAAAGCAATCAAGCTCCGTGTTTTGTCCTGTACCCAAGTCTCCGCTCTCTTTTTGGGAGCTCTCACTTCATGTGTGTCTTACCCGCTGCTATCCCCAAGTATCATTTGTTGTGGCTGAGGTGGCTGCTGCGGTGGCGGAGGAGGAGGATTATTGTGTTGTTGCTGCTGGGGAAGTGGCTGCAAATCGCCATTAGGGGAAACGACCTCTATGATCATGTTGTCTCCCAAAGCAGCACGCGGCGGTAGTTCCTCTTTGTAGAAATCAATTGCGCGAGGCTTATCCGATAGGTACATATCCGCTACACAAATTTCAGCTTTTCCCCGAGCTGGGAATTGGGTTCTGTTGAGAATTGAAAATTAACTTGTGGTTTTAGCAAGGAGAGACGAAAAGGCGGCGGAGGAATAGGAGAAATAAAGTCATTGATCAAGGTAGAGTCCTGTTTTTTTTTAGCCTTCTCTGTCGACTCGGTTGATAGAAGGAATGAGAGGTGAATGGAAAGAACTGGATTTGGATTTTAGAGAGAAAGAGGGAGGGAGAGGGTGGGTGAACTAAAAGCTTTCGACTTTGAGGATTATTAGCAGCACAGAATAGGGGGAGGAATGAAATGGGATGACGGGAGAAGCCATGGGGGATTTCTAATTGTACTCTTTCCTTTTTTTAGGCTCGGATAAATGCACATTTGGTCACTAGAATTACTAAATAGTGTCATGTTTAGTTACTAGAAAAATTAATATCAATTTTGGTCACTCAATTTACAGAAACAGGTCACATTTAGCCACTCTCCGTTAAATTTCCGTCAAATTCCGTTAATTTAGTCCGTTATGTACTGACATGGCTAACGGAAGCGCCTAATCAGCGTCATTTTGGACCGAAAATGGTCAAACCAACCCGCCACGTCACTAAACACACAATGTCATATGCTCAACCCATTAACCAAACCCGACCCTATTCTCATCTCAACCGTCGCCTCCCCACTTCTCCCTCTTCCATTTGAATCGCCGGCAAATAGTTTCACATCGCCAAGAATATGAGTTCAGCCCAGATTTCATAACCGATGGCGGCGACACTGTTGCATCAGAGCTGCAACCTTATCGGAGCTTTGTTCTCGGTCGGGGCAGGGGAACGTCGGGCTCCTTTTCTCCCTTTCAGTTTGTGTAGAAACTTCCCCGAAAAAGCATATATGAGCAAACTCAACTGCTCAGCTACATCTCTGCTCTCCCGTGCCAGCTACTATAGCACCCAACTGCTCCTTGACGACGGCAGGAACAGATTTCGGTGGTGTCGACGACGAGCACAATCCAGTTCCAAATTTCAGCGATTGCAGACTTCGGTGAGTGTTAACGACAATACCAGACTTATCCATGCTCCGCCAATTTCCTCTCAAATCAGGCGGTGAGAAAGACTTCAGCGCGCACCCAACCACCCTTCTCGGCTGCAACCCGAAATCCCCTTTTGAAACCCTAATTTTTTTAACCCAAAAATTGCATTAGATCACCATCAGCTCCAATTTATATGTTCCTTTGATCTCTTGGTCGCATGGTAACTATAAAAGATGATGAGTCGGTGGTGGGTTGAGTTTGGCAAAGAGGAAAAAAATTGGTGGTGGTACCAGGCCAGATCGCGGGAGTGTTGGGGACGATGTGGAAGAAGAAGTTGAGGCAGGGGTTGCCGGGGGAGAGGAAGGTGGCGGAGCATTGCTCCGTCAGGCCCATGGGGCTGATCACCGGAGATCATCGCTCCGGCGATTGATGGAGGGCGGAGAACCTTCGTCGACATTGTCCTGATGGATGCAGATGGCGGTGGTGGGTCCTTCGCGATGAACAAGAAAAAGTTTTGGGTCTTCAATTTTGTTTTGTTAATAGGCTCGGGTTGGGTTATGGGTCAGGTTGGGTTCATGGGTTGGGTGTATGACGTGGCGGGTTTAGTTACGTGGCAAGTTGGGTTTGACTATTTTCCGCTCAAAACTGCGTTGACTAGGTGCTTCCGTTAGTCATGTTAGCACATAACAAACTAAATTAACGGAGTTGGATGGGGACTAACGGAGAGTGACTAAATGTGACATGTTTTAGTAATTTGAGTGACCAATATTGATATTAATTTTTTCTAGTGACTAAACATGACACTATTTAGTAATTCTAGTGACCAAATGTGGCATTTACCCTTTTAGGCTCCATTTCTTTTCTAATTATTCATACTAGTGGAGTACTCCACTAGTATGAATAATTAGAAAAGGAAAGCTCGGCTTGTTTATTAACGAGCCGAGTCGAGTTCGAGCTGTGCTTGCTTAATAAAATCTTGACTCGTATTTGATTTAATTATTTTGTATGTTATACATGATACATGTGATTAATGTCAAGATGAAAATAATAACAATAATAATAATAATAGTTAAGTGTTCAATATTAAGTAATCTCATGTTATACTTTGTGGTATCAAATTATTTATTTAATAAGGTTTAACTAGTGAAATTATGTTATTTCATAGTATCAAAATAATTTATGATGCATAATTTCTTTTTAAAATTAGATAATACATATTTGCTCACATAATCTACGAGTTAAACTTCATATACAGTGAGATATATAATTTAACAATCCTATGAATTATCAAAATCAAACTCATAGATCGATTCACTCATAATTAGGTAATTGAGTTGGCTCTCTAGTTACAATGTTGAGATTTGAGACATCTCATGAGCTGTCAACGAGGCAGCTCACGAGTTGAGCTCAACAAGCCACAGAGTCGAGCTAGCTCACGAGCTGCAGAAGGCTAAGCTCAAGCTCGACTGATTAGTAAACGAGTCGAGCGTCAACCCGTTCGACTCATTTGCAGTCCTATTCATATTGTTATTATTTTGCATTAAGTAACTTCGCTTTTGGTAACTATATATATGGAAAATCAATGTTTCATCATTCATCCTAGAGTTATTTGATTATTATGGTTGCATTTATAATACACTCTTAATTTTCTATGTAAACCATATATTTTAGCCCCATTAAGTTTAGATTTTAACCATCAATATTTATTTAATATTATGATATAGTTTAGATTACAATTAATTCACAAATTTAACTCAAAAATTTCTTCCATTAAACGAAATTTTGTAATTGCATCAAACAAAATTCACTTAAAATCGCATGTTTTCTTATTCAATTTTATACAATTGAATATTAAGATCGTTTGTCCCTTCGAGGACATATGATAAAAATATTAAAATCTTTTTTACGTGAATTAAATATCTAGAATGATTATTAGGTTGTACAATTAATATGCTCATTATTTCAATACCGTTTTCAATGTATGTTATAGTTAAGTGAAATTTTCATTCATCAACCTATAAGTATAACATAATACTCTAATAATTTCAAATCCTTATTTTTACATTTCAATATAATTAAAATTTTAATCCTACCTAGGTTAATTGTAAAGAATACTTTTAAATATTTGTATGCCAAGTACTTCTTTTTATCATTCTAAAGCAAAAAAATAAACGAGTATGCCCTAATATCACGCACCCAGAAATAAAATGTTGTTGTGTAGGGAAAATCTTGGCACAACGTAAGGAAATATATATATCATCGTTGTAATTTCAGATTGCTTGCTCGATTCGCACATCATCTACATGCCTCGGTTGCCTCAACTCAATCCTTTTCATGTGACAAACCATCAAAATGCTATAGATGCAGAAAGGTTTGCAGAAACTTCGCTGTTTATAACGCATTTTCCATGGAATAAGTGTTTACGAGAAGCATTAGAAGATTATTCGAATTCACATCGCTTCTACACAATCCAGAGCTTCCTTAACTTTCTTCAATGTTAAAGCCTTTCTTCCATTTCCCTCCCAGCTCAAAAAAAATCAACTCCAGCAATGAAAAATAGAAAACACGAGACAAAATTGTGGCGATACAATGAGCTAGCTAGTATCAAAGGAAATAAAAACGAGTAGTAAGCAGAAAAACATTGCATTACATTCCTAAGAGTATCGATGTCATTCTTCAAACTTTCCTCAAGGAAATAATCGTCAATCTCATTGGTCTAAATGAAAATGTCACATAATAAATGATGAATGACAACGCCATAATAATATATCAATTTACATGAATCCACACAACTATCTTTTGGCCAATGAAAAACGATAGTCTTTTTTAAAAACATGAAAAACACAAGATGTAGATTGATGATTACTTGATTGTCACGCAAGATGAACGAATGACAGAAATTGTTTTCCATTTCAGTCACCCTCCTTATGAGAAGCAGAAGAAGCAGGTTTCTTCCTCAAATCTTTCATCCATTTCAAGCTGAGGAACTTCTTCCCGATGCTGCTCTTGCCCCCATCTTTTCCCTTCTTCTTGTCATTCGAGTTCTTCTGCGGAGGAGGATCGTCGTTGTAATCCCATTGATCCGCCCATGATAACCCGGAATCCATTTTCCTTCTGCGATGGATCTCCCCCTCTTCCTGTTCTCGTGTCTCCTTTGCCTATATTTTTTGTTCCGAAAGTCCTTCAATATTATTCACAGAACAACAACGGCCTGGTTCTTTTCTTACCTATTTTAGGCGGGTGTTGATTCAACGTTTCTTTCTCTAAAGTTTGACTTGTAATTTGGGTTTCGTTCTCTCCGTCCATCAGTTTTTTGGACAAAAGTTGTTAAGTTTGGTAGCAGAACGGTTCTGGGTAGTTGTTCTCTAATCATGGGCATTTTATCAATCATTGTTACCCTTCTGAATTGGGTAGAGGGGGAAAACCATACTAGTGACGGATAGATACCACCGTATAGCATTATACATGACAAAGGTTAGCATACGCATGCATATAATATAGTCTATGTTTATGCTTATTAGATATTCTTTGGTGTACAACAATGAATCATAACCCCATCTAATATTTTCTTTTATTAAATTTAAATTGAATGTTTTCTTTTCAATTGAGTGTTATGAGTAAACGTTACGCAACCACGTGACGTTCTTATAATCATGGGTGTCATGCTGGTGAGATATCGGCTAGTTGAACCTGGTTTAACTGGTGTCTATTATGAAACCGGTGTGAACATCATCAATAGAATCGTATGATCGATTTTTATTAAGCCAACATGAACCGACATAAACCGGTTACGTTGTACCACCGATCGAACTATATTACTATGTTATATGTACACAATAGTATAAATAGATTTGACAATCTTTTTCGAAAAATGAAGGTTGGTGGTTTTGGCAAATGCACTTGGAGTAGGCGAGTAACTAGTTCATCAACAGAGTTGCTTGCTCATGGTTTCTGAAGCCCATGAATGGTGGATTGGTGGTGCGTATCAACTATCAAGGCCAAAATTCTAAGTGGAAAAATGATGAAACTATCAAGGCAAACAACAAAATTTCGCACCACTCATTACCATCCTGATACTACTCAGTACCACCTTCGTTATTAACTCAAATTTTTAAAAAAATTTGTATAGTAGAAATGAAGTCATCGTGATCCATTGGTATTAACTTCTGGGAAAGAATTTTCAGAACCAAATATACCACCCTGATATAGGATGGTAACTTGTGGTAAACGATGGTGAAAAGTGATAAATGATAGTTAGTAACTTACTATATATTAGGGTTAATATTTTCGTATGGCCTGAACTTTGACTAAAATAAACATCTTGGCCAATCTTTTCGATCTATAACATCTTGGCCCGAACTATACACCAAAATAAACAATTTGGCCAGATCCGACTTTTGACCGTTAACTTGGACGGTCAAACGCGTTGACCGTTAGTCAACGCGCCATGTCACTGCCAAGTCAGCATAAAATATTCAAAATAATTCACAATTTCCACACATTCTCTAATTTTAAAATATTATAAATTAAAAAAATCATCTAATACCTTAGTTAAACCAAAAATAAAAAACGAAAAAAATTAAATATTTATCAGATCTTCTGACTTGGCAGTGATGTGGCGCGTTGACCGTTAGTCAACGCGTTTGACCGTCCAAGTTAACGGTCAAACATTGAGTTTGACCAAATTGTTTATTTTGGTGTATAGTTCGAGCCAGGATGTTATAGATCGAAAAGATTGGCCAGGATATTTATTTTGGTCAAAGTTCAGGCCATACGAAATATTAACCCTATATATTATTGATACCATCATTCTCTGATAAATAGACACCGAAGACACCTTGGTCAAGAACATACCAAGCATTCAGGAGCGCATCCATTGCCTCTAATAACCCAGAATGCCATGAAAGTCTCCTCAACTGCAATGATTATATGGGTTCATTTGAATGGTAGCTGAACTAAAAAGAGATAATTTAACTAATTGTCTCACAATTATCTCATTCTTCACAAAAACGCATTATTTTACAATACTTGCTCAACCTATGTCACTTCAAAATGATACAAAATAGACAATTCTAATTGTTTTGTCCTAATTGTTACAATCCCATTTCGTTAGCTTCATTTTTAATGAAATTGAGCCAAATTATATTTAAAAACTTGGGCAAGATAGAAAGATCATTGTCCATCACTGCTCAACATTAACGAGCACAGAAGAAAAGACCCTTAAAAGGCCAAAGATTACAAGAGAACGTCTTGTGCTCCTTGGTTCACTTTTTCCATTCACAAAAATACAGAAATGCACAACCAAAACGACAGAACGAAACATGTACACAACCCAACAAGGCTAAGGTGTCTCGGCCCTCCTTCCCCTTATTATTCATTACACAAGCAATAACAGCAAAGACTAGCTTAGGTTTAGATACAACATCCTACAACTGGCCGACGAATAATACAAACCACCAGCCATTATTCCTGTTAAAGTCTTTGGTTGGGAACATACAAACCACCAAACCATTATTCCTTCTCCCCGAAACAATTGTATCAACACATAATAAGAACTAACAGGGCATAGCGGGGAGACAACTAATATCACACACCTGAAACACAATAGTACAACATTTCGTCATAGGTTATCAAACTTCACACGATTAGAGCAGAGTATACACAGTGTCCTCAAATGCTTCAAGTAGAGGGCAAGTCACCACTTCCAAGTCTTCAGATGATTGACAAATACCAAAGCCAGTAGTAACCCAGAGAGGATTACCAACGCACCTGGTCACACATGTTACGTAAGAACACGCTCTCCCAACTTCAATACGAGAGACAATACCTTCAACCGAGCAGCTGAATTCTCAAGGCCAGATCAGTGCATCCTTGACCCAAAAGCAGTGGATTCATAAACTTCTACTGCAATGGCCAATGAGTCTCTTGCTACCTTCCTGCCCACATCCTCCATCTTTTGTTTCTACTTTCCCCCCAAAGTCGAGCGAATAGCTGAGCCTGCAGTCAGCATACTCGAAAACACAAAACACAAATAAATGCAAAACGAAGCCACCAACCATGGCTGCCACTCCTTTACTCTCTTTTTTTTTCTCTTTGAAATCTTTGTTTTTTTTTTTTTTTTTTTTTTTTTGCTTCTTTTGTGTTTTCCATTTTTTCTTTTTTTTTTTTTTTGCCTCATAAAATCAGAGCATATTATACATCCATAGGAGAGTATGCCTCCAGGCATAGGTAGAGACTGTCTAAGTAGTCAGGACTATCCTGTTTTCTTCGCCATTTCAACTGGTGCTTCCACAAAATGCGCAAAGCAACTCCAGACAGAATGTTTCTTCATATTCACTATCATTGATACACCGCCCACACTGAGCACACCGTAATATGCAAAGTGTGCACGCTCTGCAAGCCGGAGATGAATGTTCTCCTTGCTGGCAGCTTTCAGCAGGGCAATCATAAACCAACCTGTGGTTATGGCATTTCGGGCACATTTCAATATCGATGGCACGATCATCATCACATGGCAGATAAGGGTTGGCCCTCTGGTAATAGAGTGGCTGCCTGACTTTCTGCTGCTTGCTGGAATCTGCATCCAGTAATAACTTCAATACTTCATAGTGCTCATGTGTCACTCCATAGACCCCGCCAATCCTCAAGTGCTTCAGCCCCAGCTTATTTGAAGCCTTGAGTTCTTTCAAAATAGTCACTATGCTGTCAATGTTGACTCTAGAACATCCGGGCACACTCAGCTGCAGAAAGGATCAAATACAAACAGGCTCAGAATTAACACACATTTCCACAGCAATGAGAAGGAATGTTTACTAGAGAAGGTGTAACCATAACTTAATTTGAAAACCAGGTACATAGTAAAAGCACTATACAAAGGACATGAAGAATCAACTACGTATTATAAGATAATCTTACTTTACAACAGGTTGCAGACAGCAAGTTAACAAAATCCATGGAAAGAAAACTACATAATGCAATTGCCACAATAAAGTGGGACTCTTTGTGAACATTAAGGATGAAATACAACTAAGCTCAACAAAATTCCCCTTTATAATGTCTCAAACAGAGTAACACATTACCAAAGACAAACAGTACACCTTGGTTAACTAAGGATTGACACCAAAATCTAGAGAGAATATATATAACATTATGCACGACAAAAAATTGACAAATAAAGGATAGAACCATAGTACTCTTTCTGAACATGAACAAGAATACCATAGATTCAGCATCCAGGGGGGCAATTGAAGACTCACCTTGATTAGCTTAGGATTGTTTTCAAGTACATGCTTCAGCCCTGCATCAGTAATCCATGAAGTCTCTACTAGGGTCAAGTGTTCTAGATTACCTTGAGCCCTATCTGTTATTTGAACAAGAACATCATCGGTCATTTTCTCACTCAGAGGTTGATCAATGTAAATATTGCTCCAAACGAATGGGTCATCCCGAACTGCAGAATGGAGTGAAACACAAACCATCTCAACGGACAATAGGTCCCTCGGGCTCAAATGTGAAAGGACAAAGGTAAAACAAGGATGATGGGTTCTATCATCTCCATCAAGAGAAGCACCCTCAGTATCATCACAACAATCTCCAACGCTCATCTCATCCACAGAACAGGGGACATCTAAATCACACACCTTTCCATCCCGCAATCGCGAAGAGTCCTTCTCGGAATCCTCCTTTATCATCTTCTCTTTAGCCTCACACCCATAAACAAATTCAAACTCCGCGTTTGAGTTAGGACTAAACCTTGTGCTTGAAGGAAAGGCCGCCGCCTGAAATCTCAATGCATTATTCCAAATAAAGTAATTCAACCCAGCAAACAGTTGATACTGCTCGCTGCTCCCCATGACTCCTTCCCCGCCATACCCACCGTAACCCATTTCCAAATCCTCAAGCCAGCCCGTTAGAGCAGTAACGGTTGTACTTATATCCATGCCAAAAGGATCAGAAGGCAAAACATCCAGAATGTCCTCATCCATAGCATCCAGAGACTCATGCCTATTATCCCTACCAAAATCATAATACCCATCCACATTCTCCGCTATGCAGTCAGCAAAGCAACTGTTGCCGACCCTCATAGATGACACGAAATTATCCTCTGAAGAACGAGGTGGGAACACCATCCGTTGTGAGAAATTCAATGCCATCGATCTCAACCCCAATCACAAAGTACCTTGCAGAATACAGTTTGGGCTCAAAGCAATTCCCCACAGCAAGGGGCAAAGCGTTCAGAACGCAGAAAAGAGTACCGGGAATCTCAAAGAGTGGAGGCGCAGAAAAGAATCGAATATCCTATCTCCTCGCCTTGTGAAAACCAACACGAGATCTCGAACAAGAAACCCTCAATTTCCGATAGCTAACTAAAACAACGCCAAGCAAAAACTTCACCGGAGTTTCTTGTCTCAACCAGAAGTCCAGAACACTAAATTCAGCACCTAACCAACAAGAAGAAGGCCAAACCTAACTAAACCGTGGGACAAAAAAAAATTTCTCTTCTTATGTACACAATTCAAGAAAAAGGAAATGAATGATTATAAACGAATGGATCTATCTCTTCCGCTTTTTTTTTTTTTTCTTCGCTCCTCTTTTTTTCTTTTTTTCCCCGATTTGTCGCTACTAGGGTTTGCAACAAAAAAAAAAAAAAAACTGAACGCGAATTCGGAAGCAAACAGAAAAGCCTCCGGAAAGCCGAATCAAAAGATTCGTCAAAAAGGTACCAGGCTGAATTGAAAGGAAGGAGAAGTGGGCGAGATTGAGAAACCCTAACTCAATTCTTCGTACGAAACAGCAATTCCCAGATAGAGCGATCCCCGTCCAGTCTCAACTATTAGCTCCACAAATTAGAGAACCTCTCTCCCTTCTGCTCAGTGCTCCTGGCGACGGACGGAGGAGGAATGGCTTATGGGGATTGTGAGTTTGTGATGCTGTGGAGGGTGGTGGTGGCGGCGGCGGCCGGTGGGTAGAGGTGGGATTTCGAGTTTTCGATCCAGGGAAGGAGGAGAGAGAGAGACGGGGGGTTCCGTCGTCGACCGAGTCCTTCGGGGGAAAGGCGAAGGGAGAGGAGTTTAGAAGCGAGCGGAAAATTCTATCTATAATTCTTGACAAAAGGAAATTTAATTGGTAGACAAAAGAAAACGATAGGGAAGGAAATCAGGAATTGTAAACGGAATTACGAAACCGAAGGGAAATAGAAGAAAGGAAATTTGTCCGGTTCGGGCCGGGTTGAGCGTGGGCTGGGCTGGGCTTTCAGGGGATGAGCTGGCACGTGCGGGGTGAAATGCGCGGGAGGATTGGGGAAGCGTGAAAACGGAAAATGAGAGATGGCGCGGGCGGCTTCTTCTGTTTTTCATTTTCGCGGGGTTTTTTTTGTTCTATTTTTAATCTATTGTGTCGTAGGACGAAAGCAAGTCAAGAATTGAGAAGCTTGCGCTGGAAGTAGATGCAGCGTTGGTGGGATGAGCTTTTGACAAGTAATATCTAGGGATGACATGGACTTACATTTGTGGTCAGTGGGGAATGGACGTAAGCATCTCCCGTTGTTGTTTATAGATCTCCAAAGTTTGAGTAACCATCTCAAGTTTTTTTTATATGATTAAGATATTTCGTTTTGTGCATATCATACTATATCGTACATAATTATTTTATTAGTGCATATTATGGCGACTTTTTTGAAGATAATTCATCTTTGCACTACTTCACATTGAACACATTTCACCTCAGAGTTATTACAAAAACTTTATCATTTCATCTCAAATGACATCTTGTCACTTAAGCTTGATTTATTTTATGTGAATCACGAATCTCTCCCTTCAGGGGGCGGAGCGACATGTGAGCCGAACTATACAATTTATAAGCTCGATTTTCTACAACACTAACGACTCCAATTCAAGCAAAGTATAACTCAAATTGGCGAGGTAGTATAGCGGTAACATGGATCGTATTCCAGAGGTATCTTGGACTTACTATTACTTCGCTCTAAACTACTAAAAACAACCAACTAAGTAATTGAGAGCATAGTTAGTAAATACTCCGTTTAATACACGTATTTATGTCCATACATATTTTATTCGTTTAAAACTTTCGTATCCATATTATTATCAAGCCATTTCATTTTCCCTCGTTCATTTTATGCCTCTCATACTAAACATGTATAAAATCTGTATAACACATTTAATATATGTATTTCATGAATTAAATTGCTTACTTAACTAGTATTTATATATTAATTAATATTTATATTAATTAATTTCATATATTTTATAACTATTGACGTACTATTAAACGTACCATTAGTTTAGAGATGGCGTAAAATATATGTACATATTTTCTACGTAACTAACTCGTATCATATATTACTTACTATGGTTGGGAGGTTGCTAGAAATGATATGGTTGCCTTGGATCGAATCCTTCTAGCTGTAGTATAGGATGTCGATTGAAGTCTATGGCTATATGAGGTGTGGAGGTCACTAAGGTGGGAATCGGTGCAATGGTCATGTCTCTCGATCCCACCCTAGTCGCATCCATCGGCCAAATGTCACCACAGCCGATTTATGTGACTAGAGGTAAGCTCTCCTCTAAATGGGTTCTACCTATTCGTACACAAGTCTGGTAAGTCTATGATCATGCATTTACCTGACACGTATCAATTAGGTGAGCTCCTAGCTAGAAGAGGATGGTCACCTTGTTCGCTAGTTAGGACTATATATAATCTAACCTAGTATGGAAGCAATCAACATCATTCACATTAACCATAAAGCTAACACATGCAAAATACCATATCAAGAATCCAAACCATAGATAGAAGCATTAAAAAATACTAATTGAATACAAATTATGCCATAGATATCAATTCAATCAATAAAAACTAGTTACATACTAGAATTCATCTACCCTAAACAACCTTAGGAGACGACCGACGAAATGAACAAAACATCTCGTGGTGTGAGTCATGGATAATGAGGGTTTCAACCGTGAGAAAGATCACAGTTGCGACTTCTAGATCACAACTGTGATCTCAAGTTCAAGACCACGATCTTGTTACTCAAAGATGAAGTCAAGACGTGAAGTTTCAAACTATTAGGTGGCATTTCGTCACGTCACGCCCATTACCATTGTGCCCTTAAGCCGTGACCTGCACTAGAAACCCTATAAATACCCCTTTGCTGCAATTGACGAAGGAGAGCCGCCTTAGAGTGAGAAATTAGGACTTTTGGGCATAGACCTGGCAATCAGGTCGAGTTGGGTAATTTCGGGTTGGGGCATTCGGTTACAGGTCGGGTCATGTTGAGTTGGCAGATTTCGAGTCAAATATTGATCCAACCCAGTCGATTTTGGGTCGGGTTACAGGTTATTTCGGATTATTAGCGCTCTCATAAACAATATCAAACATCCTTCAATTTTTCTTAACAAACACAAATTTTCACATATGTATGACAATAGTTTACCCAACACATGTCAATTAACATATTCTCAAATCCTCCCATGCTAATGAAATAAAATACAAATTCCGCAAATTGTCAAAAAACAAACACAAGAATAATGCTACTACAAGAAGCGCATGATATTTGATTATCCTTAAATTCCAAACTTGTCATTCAAATCCATGTGGATTTTTTAAATATCTCGCCAATTTATGAGTGCTTTATCGTTTTGGGAGTGATATATAAAATGGAACGGGTCCCGACCCAAAAAATCATGGGTTATCATTTTCGGGTCATTCGGGTTATAAAAACTTCTACTTTTTGGGAGGGTTCAGGTCGGGTCAACGAGTCGGGTTGTAATTCGCAGGTCTATTTGTGTAGCTCAGAGAGACAAACGACCTTAGAGGAGTTCAAGGAGGAGGAATCCATTGAAGATCCAATGAGAAGGGTGCAATCCAAGGAGGAGGAGATGTCTACAAGTTCTTCATCTCTTTCTAGTTTGCATTTCTTCCTCTTTCTTTGACTTAAAATCCTTATGTTGTTTAGGGTTGATGAATTCTAGTATGTAGCTACGTTTTGTGGAACGGGTTAGCATGCTAACCCCTTAAGGGGTTGGTTTTTTGACACGCCCCTTTTAATTGGTTAATTTTTCATTAATTATTGACAAGTATTAATGAAAGTAAACATAATAAATGTTCTGTTATTAAATACAAAGTAAGCATTAAATACACCACATTAACTACCACTTTACTAGTATTTGTACCACTGCACTGATACTCAGATATGACATTGCTACCAGTGCACTGATATCGCTACCAGTGCAGTGGTATATCTACCAGTACAGTGGTACAACGTATCAGTGTAGTGGTATATCTACCAGTACAGTGGTACAACGTATCAGTGCAGTGGTATATCTACCAGTACAGTGGTACAACGTATCAGTGCAGTGGTATATCTACCAGTACAGTGGTACACCGTATCAGTGCAGTGGTATATTTTTTGGAGGTGGTCGGAGGGAGTCTGCCGATGGGATTTTCATCGGAGAAGTGTGGCGGTCGGAGGAAGTCTGGTGGTCGGAGACTGCTGAAAAAGGAAAAATCAAATATAGTGAGAGAATTCCTAATGTGTATTTAATGTGTGTATTTAATTTCTAATGTGTATTTAATAGTGAGAGAATTCCTAATTAATATGGTACATTTAATTCCTAATGTGTATTTAATGTGTGTATTAAATTCTATAGTTGTATTTAATATACTAGGGGTGTCATTTTTCCAACCCCTAAGGGGGGTTAGCATGCTAACCGACCCCACGTTTTGTTGATTGAATGATATCTATGACATAATTTGTGTTCATTTAGTGTTTTAATGCTTTTATTGGATGCTTGCTATGGTATTTTGCATGTGTTGCCTCTAGGGTTAGACATGCATCAAAGAAAGGCATTCTAGGAGAAGTGAGCAGTAATATTGGTTGCTAAATATGTTGTGAGTTTAGGATTAATATGGCCACCTTGTTCTTGTCCTTTATTTTAGCATAAACCAGAAAAAACATGCTTTAACATAAACCAGAGGTAACTACCCTCAACTACTTAATACAAACAATTATCGTCCCCCATAAGAGGAAAAACCTTGTCTGGAACCCTATTATGTATATTCTCAAGTTTCAGGACTTGACATTTTCTCATATCGGCTTTCAGTATCTATGTGATCATGTTTATGAATCTAGTATTGAATAGGAAATTTTTTTTAATGGGTATTATGGGTACCCGTACTACCCAAACGGGTATTAACGAGTACCCATGGGTACCTAATGTAGAAATCATTGATCTCAAGTAATATCTCGGAACACTAACCCTAAAAAAATGGGACAGGTATGGGTAAACAAAATTACGAATATTTAGTTACCCGTAACCCTAAAAAATGGGATAGGTATGAGTATACCCAACTACCCATCTCCCGCTGCCCACCCTAATTTTAGATAGGGGATTGATGTTTCTATTCCCATGCGGCCATGCCCCTCGTTTATGCCTATTTTTGTAATAAACGTATTAACATTTCTTCCTTCTCACTGTGTTCATTTAAGTTTATAGGTCATGGTAATATGTTATTTGTGAAAGACAAATGCTAAAAACGTTTTCATCCACTTTCCTTGCAATTTTTTTATAATTCTCTTGAACATGCAAAATATACAAATTAGTAATATATCTACATATGTAAATTATTGCATCTCAATTTTAGTGTGAGTTGTCATTTTGGATGTAAGAAATAATTGAAAAAGTGTATGATTCACACAATGATTTTCTTATCGAGTTAATTACATTATTATACTTTTTGTTACACCAAAAATTAAACTTGTACCATATCGGTTAAAAATAAGGAATTAAAAGGCTTTATAAGGCCAACTTGATTATAACAGTTTAAATTAGTTGAGTGGACCACGTGGATTGTATTTTTGGGCCCATTACTCTGTGTCATCATGCGTGCCATACATCCCCAAATTTGGCTAAGTGTTGGAGCCACCCCATGATGTGTCAATAGGGGTGGCTATACGGTCCGGTCCGGTTAAATTGGCCCAAATTGATCCGGTCCAGTCTGGTCTTTTTGAACAAAAGGACCAAAGATCGGATTCGATACAGTCCAGTCTTGATCTGGTCCGGTCTTGACCCGGTGCGATCCCGATTCGGTCTTGATTTTATATTGAGCTTGTGGGAATTTGAGTGACCTAACACCTAAGGCCTGAAAGGGTGAAGAGTTGGTTAAGTTTTGTACTAAGTGCAAAGGATTGTGACCGTTTATGCAAATTACCCTTAAGTTTTGGGTGTTGAGCTCTCTTATCCGGTCTTTATCCAGTTTTCGATCCGGTCCTGGACGGTTTTTACCTCAAATCTAAGCCCAAAGATTGGATTGGATTGTTTACTATCCGGTCTTGGTCCGGTCTCGGTCTGGGTTATATGGTCCGATTTTGGGTAAAATCAAAAACCCGGACCAAATAGCTAGCCCTATGTGTCAAGGGTGGCCACATACTGCCACCCCCATTACGTGGTAAGGGGCTGAGTACCATATTACCACCCCCCATGATGTGCCGAGGGGGGTGA